TATTACCTGGCACGTGCGCATTGATGCCACGAATACCCAAGCGTACCAGAACCTTCCATTCGTTCTCTCTCTCTCTCTCTCAAGCGAGTCACGCATCCCTGCTTTTTAAGCCCGTCACGAAACGGAGGGCAACTGAAACCCTTCGTCCTAAAAAAAATACCAATTAGGGTTTCGCTTCTCCTGATTCTATTCGATTCCTTTTCTTTTCAAGGTAATGTGTTTACGTTTTCCATTTCTCAGGATTTCTTTTCCGTAGAAAACGTCCCTGATCAGGTGTTATTTTCCCCAACGATCATTAGTGTTTCTTAATTCTTCGATTTGTTTTTGGATTTGTATCTGATTCTTTGTTCTTTAATTCTTGAGGGCGATTGCTTACTGTGCTTTTTTTTTGCATAGTTGTTCGATAATTATTGCTAATTTTTGTTTATTATTTTATTTTAGTGATTAAACAAAAATTCTTTGATGGTTGTTATGGATTGTATGAACTGTGATCATTTTTATTTTTATTTTTTGCAGTGTTTCTTCAAATTTGATTTTTGATCTTTTTGTTTTTGATGAGATGATTTTATCTTGATTTACTGAAATGATTAATTTTTGGGTTTTTTTTTCTTTATTTATTATTTAGAGGTCTCAGAAAATGCAGAGAAACAGAGGTGGTGGAGATCCTTTCTCCAATTTTGGTGACCCTTTTGGTGGTTTTGGGGGATTTGGTAGCTTTGGGGATCCTAGGAGTTTGATGTCCGGTTTCTTTGGTGGAAGGGACCCTTTTGATGATCCTTTCTTCACACGTCCTTTTGGAGGCATGTTTGAGTCGGGCTTCTTCCGTCCAATGGGAAGTCCTTTTGCAGATATGCATCCACCTGCATTTATTGAGGATCGGCCCCCAGAGCCCAAGAAATCAAGGGGGCCAATTATTGAAGAACTAAACTCTGATGAAGAAAAAGAAGAAGGGGGTAAAGAGAAGAATGAGAATCCTAGAAAGCATCCTAGGTCAAGTAATGAACCTTATGTTGAAGATCCAGATGATGCTGCTGAAGGTGACTCTCCTTCCTACTCTCTTGTTATATATAGGATGAGCAGTTTTGTAAAGCTTCTGAGATAGTTTCAGTTTTAGTGACGTAAAATAGTTTCCCTTCTTTCAATGTAGAGAAAAGAAACAAGCTTTTGCAGTATAGGAATGAGCATAATAGGTTGTATGATAATCAGCAGCAGCCTCAAACTCGTAGCTTCACGTTCCAGAGCTCCACTGTTAGTTACGGTGGTGCAAATGGAGCTTACTATACTTCCTCAAAGACAAGGAGGATGGGGAGCGATGGAGTAAGTAGTTTTTTAAATGTTTTGATTAAATGTTGATTATCTCAGGTTTAGCAGGTATTTATTTAACTCTGTTTGGAATAGATCACTTTTGAAGAAAGCAAAGAAGCAGACACTGCCACAAGACAGGCTACACACAGGGTTTCTAAGGGAATTCACAGCAAGGTATCTTATTGAATCTTTTCTTGTAGTAAAACTATAAAACTATCTACTCAATTGTTAATTACTTGATCTCATGTTGATTCTTACTTCTAGTTTTGTCTCAGCTCCCCCCTTCCCATGCTATGTGTCTTTTTAACTTGAGGTTTGAGGAGTGTACTTAATTTTGTGAATTTTGTTATCTATAGGGCCATTCGCTTACAAGGAAGCTCAATTCAGATGGCAGGGTGGACACAATGCAGACTTTGCATAATCTGAATCAAGGTACGAACTCCATATGAAATGGACATTTTATCTGAATATATTTGCATGTCTGTTATTAGCAAGTTTCTTTCTGTGAACTGAAACTTCTCAAATTAATGTACCTTTCAGATGAGCTTCCTCATTTTGAAGAAACTTGGAATGGAAGTGCTCAAAGGCATTTGCCTGGCTGGTCTGGGAATTTTGGTCAGCATGAAACTATTGGTAAGAGTTATTCAGCTCTCCCGTGTGAATCAATTTCATGTAATAAGTGAGTGGTTCCATTTTTAGATACAAGATTTTTATGTCAGTTTTAACGAGTTGTATTCAATCAACCCTTTAAGGGGAATTTATATTAGTCCTTGTTGTTTGGTTAAAAGTAGACAAGCACAGATATCACATCTAGGGTGTTAGTTTGAATTCACCCAGAATTTAAGATGCAAGGTTATATTTGGATAAACTGTGGTTCTTTTTATTTATGTATTTATATTTGGTGCATTGTATGTTAATTGATTAGCATGACAGAAGTTTGAACCTCTGATCCTGATCCCAAATCAAGGTTTTTTAGTTAGTGAGTACTAACTCAACTAATTATAGATCTATTTGTGAGGGTTAGATAGGAATTTTGTGTTTGGTATCATTTCTATGATTCTGTGTAATATGTTTGTGTCCTATATTTACATGAATAATTACTTTTGTTTTGCATGAGATGAACTTAAAATGAAGCCTAGGTAATTAAACTTTATTGCTTGCTAGAACTTTTGTTGGACTCATCTTATGTAGAAAGATCTTCCTGTTAGTTCAGCAACTAGTGTGGGGGGCATCCTGATGAAATATTTTAATGTTAATGGTAGACATAAATGAGCCTCCAAGGGTGTGGAATATAGCTTAAATCTGTAAACCAACTGATCATGGTGCAACTTGTTACAGGAGCTGGCAGCAGTGGACAGAATGCAGGTCGGGGTGGCTGGGCACTCCCTGCCGCAGAGGGTTTTCAGCAGTCGGGTGGGGTTGTACCAGATAGGAGGCAAAATGCTGGACCTTCTCATTCCCAGCGGTCTACCAGGACACAAGGTGCAGGTGCATCAAATGTAAGGGGGAGTGTGTTTTCTCAAGGTAGAGCTAAGAATTAAATTGGAAATACTCAAGTGGTAGTTGTATTGGTGGATGCAGCTGTGTCTATGGAACTTACCTTGCTAGTAGCGTAGACGTCCAATTTCACTTGTCTGTTGTTCAGTTTTATACGTCGAAGTGTCCTCTTCGGCGGTTAATCTTAGGTTTCTGAGCAGGATATATGAATGGTACCTCTTACCGTCACATTTCATCCTTGGAACATTTGTTGGAAATCTAAGATGATTGTTTATGCTCTATTCAGTATTATTTTGATTTTGATTTTCGAATTTTATTTTTAATATATTAGTAAGGAAAAAAGAAAAATCAAGATGTTTGGTTGTTAAAAATATTAAAATGTATAATAATAGTTATATAATGAATTTGATAAAGATAAAGTTGATATTATATTTTACACATCTAATGGTAGAAATTAAATGTTTTGATATTTTTAATAATAAAATGTTTTGATTCGTTTTTTTTTATTAGTAATCAATATTATATTTAATTTAATTATTTATAATATTTTTAAATATAATTATTATTATTAAATATATAAGAAAGTAAGAATAAAAAATTTAAAATTAAAATTCTATTAAACAGAAACTTAAGTTTCTTCTCTCTTTTTTCTTTTGATTTAAATATTTAAGTAAAACATTGTTTTTTTTCAAATAAAATATATTCCAAAATAACAATATCGAGGACTTAAAACTCGAAATTTATACTTGACATAAAATTAGCGATGGCTTACTTGCCCAGAAAATATGGAATAAATTTAGCCACTGTTGGCTGTTGCCGGTGCCACTAGTTTCATTTCATGATAGAAATCCCACAAAGGCCACGTGTTAGGCTAAGTGGAAATCCAATTATACGCCACTATTTACCTATTTTGCCCTGAATTATAAAAAAAAAAAA